TGAAGTACAGAAGGACAACACTATCCAAGGTGCAGAAGAAAGATTAAAAATGCCTCATTAACTGTGATTTCATAACAGCATCAGATTTGGGCCACATCAGTTGTTTTGTGAAGAGTCGTGGTTGTTTCCCTGTTAAAGTGGGGTTTCAAAAGACAATATTCAGTCATATTTTCAGTTTAACTACACTGACACTATCAGATGAGACCAAACTGTTATTGAATTTCTTTGGGTCTTACAAAGGTCTTATTAAAAATTCACCCTTCCACAAATTAAAGCCCTAAAAAGGTCTTAAATGTGACCCTAGACCACAAAACCAGTCTTAAGTGTCAATTTTTCGAAATTGAGATTTATACATCATCTGAAAACTGAATACATAAGCTTTGTTAGGATAAACAATATTTGGCAGAAATACAACTATTTGAAAAAAGAAAAATCAATAATTTTGACCCATACAATGTATTGTTGGCTATTGCTACAAATATACCCCAGCGACTTAAGACTGCTTTTGTGCTGCAGGGTCACAAATAGGAGCAGAAAGCCTTAAATTGCTAATGGCATGGCATGGCTTTGCTGAAAATTAATATCGTCTTCAGTATTTTTGTCTTGATTTCCAATACAAATATCTAAACATCCTTAAATTTACTTCAGATGCAAAATGAAGATATGAAGTCTTGTTTTATGAGAAACTGAACAAAATTAAGTGAGTTTATGCTTAAGAGCAAATATCTGTCAATGGGGATTGAAAACTTGTTTTCCCGTTGAATTAAGTTGATTTTTCTTTTTAGTCATAAACTCACTTCATTTTGATCAGTTTCACAGAAACTTGTATTTTCAAACTTTGAAGTGTTGCTAATGCAACTTTCTGCTCCCTAGACATTTACATTTAGACAACATATTGATGTATTGTGTTCCCGTCCATTTTTTCCTAACAATTTCTTTACTTGATCTTAAAAAGTCTTAAATTTACTTTTTTTTACAAACTTGTAGAAATGCTGACTGAAACTAAATTGAGTTGAATAATGACACTATTGTCTTCTGTAGAGCTGCTTAAATTACATGAAATACATCCGGATATTTCAAACTGATTTTTAATCTCTTTTAAAACTAGATTAGATCAAGTGGTATTTACCAGATGTCGCATAGGTCATACAAGACTGACTCATGCATTTTTGCTTAAAGGTGAAGACCCTACTCAATGTATGTTTTGCAAGGTTCCCCTTTCTGTTAAACATATTTTATTGGACTGTCCAGCTTTTAATGTACAGAGAAAACTCTTTTATGAAGTGAACTCACTTAAAGAGTTATTTAGTAAAAATGTTGCCAGGAAAAGTTTTAGAATTTTTATCACATGTTAGTGTAAAAAATCTTGTGTGATATAACTTGTTTGTTTGCTGGTTTTTATTGTATTTGTTATTTTTTAAATTGTTTTTGCCATGAAAATTGCCTTTGAATAAATATATATACTATACTATGTAGAGCTGCTTTACAGCTGAAATTGTTTTTGTTTTATAATTGATGAATTCTGCAACATTAACTGTTCTTTATCTGTTTATTTGTGTGAAGCTGTTTTGGCACAGTCTATATTGTAGAAACTGCTAAATAAATAAATGTGACTAAAAAAACAAAAACTTTCTGCTTCTTACAGGTTTCCGTTACATTGTGCCATTTTCTAAGGTGGACGAGGACCAGATGAAATATAAGTCTGATGGGAAATGTTTTTCTGTGCTTGGCTTCACTAAACAGTAGATGGCGCTCTTTTCAAACGAGTGCATTTTATCTTACGGGCTTACCTGAAATATCTAGATTCTATAGTGACTACAAGATCTTGTTATACTAAGCTTTGTGAGTGCAATGTTTATGAAATCTCTCTACAACTTGAAAAGAGTGTGAGAACCCCGATATTACAAAATAGGAAGCTACCGATAACAAATTGTGTGGTCAGTATGACGATTATTTAAGCACATACCCCAAAATCAAGTAGTTTTACAGAAAAGCTTCATTATATGTGTAAATTTCAGCATTTTGTACTGTACTGATGTGTTTTGCCTTGTTTTTCCCATAATAATGTACAGTGACAGATGTTTATTTGTCTGTTTGATGCAGATTCATCGTCATCAGTTTATGGGAAGCCAAGTTGTCAAAGTTGCAAAGTTTTTGCTCCCAGAGATGATGAGGTGAGTTCCTCTGTGAATTTGCTATAATCAGTTCAGTAATTATCAGTAATTGTGATGTTTGAATACATGCTGTAGTGACAAAAAGGCTGAGGGCGCATCTAAAATGATTTTCATTTCAACCTGGAAATTAGCAAAGTATTAGGGTTTTGAAAAAAGTAATATAATATGAAATTAAGAATATTTATCAGTAACTAATCAAACGTGGCATTCTAATATTCATGTCCATTTCTCACTCAAATTATTATGTTGATAGTATATTCTGTATTTACACTACTGTTCAAAAGTTTGGGGTTGGTATGATTTTTTATGTTTTTGAAAAATATTTTATATTTTTTAAATTTATTTGTACTGTAAAAATAGTGAAATATTTTTACAATTTTAAATAAGTTCTTTATGTGTCGGTATATTTTAAACTGTAATATATTTCTGTGATCAAAGCTGTATTTTCAGCATCATTACTCCAGTCTTCAGTGTCACATGATCTTCAGAAATCATAATAATATGCTGATTTGCTGCTCGAGAAACATTTATGATTATTATCCATGTTGGAAACAGTTGTGCTGCCAAATATTTTTGTGGAAACCGTGATGCTTTTTATTTTTTCAGGATTCACAGATGAATAGAAAGTTCAAAAGAACAGCATTTATTTGAAATGGAAATATTTTATAAATATTATAAATGTTTTTACTGTCACGTTTGATCAATTTAATGCATCCTTACTTAATAATGTTTTATATTAATTTATAAAAAAAAAACAATTAGCTGACCTCAAACTGTTGAACAGTAGTGTAATATGTGACCCTGGGGCACAAAAGCAGTCTTAAGTCGCTGGGGTATATTTGTAGCAATAGCCAACAAACAATACATTGTATGGGTCAAAATTATCCATTTTTCTTTTATGCCAAAAATCATTAGGATATTAAGTAAAGATCATGTTCCATGAAGATATTTTGTAAATTTCTTACTGTAAATATATCAAAACTTAATTTTGGATTAATATATATAATATAATATATATATTTACGGTAGGAAATTTACAAAATATCCTCATGGAACATGATCTTTACTTAATGTCTTAATGATTCTTGGTAAAAAAAAAAAAAAAATTTTTTTTTACAACTTTAATTTTTCAAAGTTTTAAAAGAAAATACTACT